GCTGACCCGCGCAGGATATCTGGCCCACCGGCCTCCACACACACGTGTGCACACGTGAACAGCCGTGTGAACACACGTACACACGCACGCACGCACAGCATGAAGCTGGGTGGCCCTGTGGCCTCACTAAGTGGAAAGCCCCCACCAAGGAGAAGCCAGGAGACGAGCCCTCAGGGCAGGCGAGGAGAGTGCGGGAAACAGGGCCATGTGGCTGGAGACACGCAGACAGGGGGGCAGGCTGAGACCGACCCCAGCGCGGCACGGACCGCACGGCCGAGGCCGCCAGGTTCAGAGTATCGTGAACAGTTGAAAATTTAATTCAGAAAAAAAACGTTTTCTTTGCAATTTTGTCTATCAAGTTACCACTCAATTTTTTAAAAAAATGAAAATTAGGTAAAAGGGTCTGGCTGGAAACGTTACGTATGCTTTGGGAAGACCTTGAAAGCACATGGAAGGCTACAGGCCTTTCTCCCAGGGGAAGGACCAGCACACACACGACACGCACACGCACACACCCTGATGCATTCTGGAGCCCTGGGTCACCCAGGGCCTGGACGCCACTCTGCTGCTTCACAAAACGACAAGGGCCACCTCCCGGCCCAGCTCTGCCCACTCTGTCACTCCTCCAAACTACTCCTCCACTTTCCAAGACTTTTGGAGACAAGACATTACAGCTATTTAAAAGCTGTTTAACAGTAAAAAATATTAATCCTTACACACGCTACAACATGGATGAACCTTGAAAACATCGTGCAAGAAGCCAGATACAAAGGCCACTTACTGTACAACTCCATTTATAAATTCCAGACAGGAAAATCCCAGAGATGGCACTGGATTAGGGCTGCCAGGGGCTGTGGCAGGTGGGGAGTGACCACAGATGGGGACGTGGCTCCGAGCGAGCGCCAAGGCCGACAGGGAAAGTGCTAGAAACTGCTGACCTCAGTGAACTTGTGAACTCAGTGGTGTGTGGAGTGCGACTCAGAAAAGCTGTTAAAAAGGTTAATCATGGGGCCGGCCGAGTGGCTCAGTTGGTTAAGAGCTCGCTCAAGGGTGCAAGCTCTGAGCAACAGTGGTTCAAGTCCTGGCCTGAGCTGAGCTGCTGTTGAGCTGCTGTTGAGCTGCTGCTGAGCTGCCAGCAGGCGGCAGGATGTCTCAGCTAAAAGAAAAAAACAGTTAATCCCGTCCTCATATGAATTTACAAAACTAATTCTATAGCATTTTGGAATCCGATTTATCCTTGTGACATTTAGAAACCTAGAGCTTTCTTCTTAGGAACACATATTCATTTCTCAACTATTTCATGGCAGGCTAACCACTAAAAAGTCCAGAACACTGGTTTTCCCTGCGCATTTTTAAAACTTCTTATAATTTCACAAAATACAGAACCAGAAACTGTGAAGGTATTTTTTTCCAAGTTTTAAAAAAATATTTTTAAAGAAGTCAAAATAAATGTCAATCCATGAGAAAACACAGGCTATGATCTCCTCAGAAGCAAAGGCTTTTGGTTGACATAAAAGTATCTAAAATGAAGGCCCATCTACAAATTAAAAGAGGGAACGGGATCCAGCCGACCGTGAGGCCAAAATCATCCGGTTTCCAAAAGAAAAACAACACAAGGAGATAAAACCACAGACCGATGTCCTTATGAACACAGATGCAAAACACGTAGCGAAATCCAGCACCACATAAAAGAATCATACAACAAAATCAAGTAGGCTTCATCCCAATGAAGGCAAGGATGGTGCGACCCACAGAAATCGATGCAACACACCCACCTGCAGAATGCAGAACTGTTCACCTCAAAAGATACTAAGTAAACCCAACACTCGTGATTCAAAACAAACAATAAAAAAGGTTGAAAACACTACGGAGAGCATTCCCTCTGATAATGGGCATCTACAAAAATGCCACAGCTCCCATAGTACTTAATGGCAAAAGGCTGACAGCTGCCCGGCCATCAAGGACAAGCCCAGAGGTCCCCTCACCACCTCCAGCATCGTGGTCTGGAAGCTCCAGCCAGGACAACCATGCAGGAAGAAGAAATACAGGCACCAGACTGCGAAGGAAGCAGTCACACTATGCCTACATGCAGATGGAGGTTCTTGTGCATGGAAAATCCCAAAGAATCCCTCACAAAATACTGGAACTAATACACAAGTACAGCTAAGCTGCAGGATAAAAGGTCACTGTAGAAAAAGAAGTGAATTGCTACACACTAGCAATGAACTACCTCACAATGAAACCAAGAAAATAAGTCCATTTACCACAGCATCACAGACATTAAAACACTTGGGAATAAATTTAACAAAGTGCAAAGCTTATCATCTCAGAGTTACAAAACGTTGTTGAAAGGAATGAAAGAAGACCTAAATAAATGAAGAGACTTTCTTCCAGTTTCATGGCAGGAAGTCTTAACCTTAAGGTGCCAAGACTCCCAAAGCAACCTGCAGGGGGTGCAGTGGCTACCGAAATCCCAACCGTTTCTCTTATGGAAACAGAAACACCAGCCCCCAAACGTGCGTACAGCTGCCAGGCCCCGCACATCCACACGACCTTGAAGAACATCCAAGATGGGGACACGCACTTGCTGCCTTCCAAACCTGCTGCAGGGCTGCGGGCAGTGGGGCAGCCGGCGGAGCAGAGCGGCCAGAAAAGCCCCATCATGTGGCATGTGGCTCGTCCCTGGCCCCTGCCCTGCCAACTCAGTCCCAAGTGCTAACATGCACCGAGGGTGGCTCTCACCAGTCTCTCCTTGTCTCTCTGCCACTTCCTCCACTTGTCCACGTCTGCCCGGCTCTGCCTCGTCCCCACTCTCCTCCGTGTTTCCTGGCGTCCTTGCTCTGCCAGCCTTGTGTGTAACTGCTCTACCTTGGCCTGTGGCCACGCGGGCGTCTCCCCCTCTGTCTCCTGATTGCAGCTCAGCTCTGGTCGGGGGCTCTGCAGGGCCTGCACGGTAGCCCTCGGTGGGGCACTTACCTCCTTCTCCCTCTCGAGCTCCTGGAAGTGCCCCTGTGCCTCCACCTCCGGCTGCTGCTGGGCAGCCTGCAGCTCGGCCACACGGGCCCTCTCATCCTTTGGCTTGCGCGGCATGGCGTGCTGCCCCGGGGGTGCCTGTACCCTCCGGCTGAGCCGCTCAGTCAGGAGGCGCTCATGCTGCAAGGCCTCGGACAGCTCCAGCGAGCGGCCCTGCTCGGCCTCCAGGTGCCTGCGCAGCTCGGACAACCGGCCGCGCTCCTGAGCCAGCAGTGCCTCGCAGCGCGAGGCCTCAATCTGCAGTTCCCGCTGGAGGTTGTCCTTTGCTGTCTGCTCATGTTTCAATGCAACACAGAGTCGATTGTTCTGAGCACACTGCTTCTCCAAAGACACTCTCAGCTCCTGTCCCAGGGAAATAAGAGGGAGGACCTTAAATCAGGAGAAAGGCTGTCTTATCAGTTTTCTGGCTGAGTTGTTGTTTACATCCTCAGCCAGCAGTCACACAGTCTGCCCTGTGGGTGAGAGCACACAGGGCCGACCCTCCAGTCACGCAGGGGCAGGGGTGTCAGCCTCTCTCCAGCCAAACACCCAGGCGTGTAAGTGCAGTCGGCCCCTGAACACGCGGACCCCTAACTGCGAAGCTGACCTTCAGCAACACGGTTGTGAACTGCATGGTCACGTGAACAGTGGTCATTTGACAGACCCCCGCACCCGAGTGGACCCCCGCCATCCACACCGCGGGGTCCAGGTCAGCCGCACTGTGACTGTCTTGTTCCTCGGAAAAGCCACACTGGGGAAACACACAGCACTCTGGGCTCTGTTCCCACCTCAGAACCAAACACCAGGACACCCAGACGCGCACACACGTCCAGTCTGCACTGTGGCAATGCGGCAGCACCGTAGCCGGAACTCACGCATGGCCTTCCCAGGACCACAGAACGCCTGCCAGACATGTGGTCTTGGAGCTGCCAAATCAAACACAGATTCATGCCCACGACCCCCATCGGCACAGGAGCTGGATCCTGCCACCTACGGGTTGACACAAGCCTCGGAGGTTGCACCTCGTGTGTCCAACCAGCACAACCAAGCACTCAGAGATCACAGGGACTGACCGGCAGCCACCGCACTGTCACCCAGACAAGAAGAGCTCCCAGATCTGGCTGTCCCTGCGGCGCTCACCCCCAGGGCCTGGGCGCTCTGGGCCTCCGCTTGCAAGCGCTGCAGCCGCTCCTGCTCCAGCCGGCCCTGCAGGGCTTGCTCCTCCCCCCGCGCGCTCTCCAGCTCTTGCAGCGCGGCCCTCAAGTCCTCCTCCTTGCCATCCAGCACAGACCTGTGGGGAGACACCGTCAGGCCCCATGTCACAGAACGCTCAGAAGGGACATGGGCCAGCTCTCAGCTGTCGCCCCCTCGTTATCTGCACACGGGCTCGATCCCGCTGGAAACCCGCGGGAGCAGGACGCCTTTGCCAGCACCTGGGCCACGCTGGCCGGGACACAGCTGTACCTCAGCTGCAGGACCTCCCGCTGCACGTTGCTCAGGGACTCCAGCAGCCTGTCGTTGTCCTGCTTACACTCGCAGAGCTCCGACTTCAGAGCTCTGACAGCCTGCTCTTCTACCAGCAGCAGCTTCCGGACGTCACTGGCTTTCTCCTGCTCTTCACTGAGGGTTTTCTGGAGATCACTCGCTATACATTTTTCCTGCTCAACTTTATAGGCCAGTAACTCAACTAAGAAAAAGAGTGAAGAACATAAAACAGCATTAGTCGCAAATCCAGAGAGTTGTATGGATGACTTAACAAGTTACAGACAAGCCAGTAAGGGGATGTGGAGAATAAAGTTTCTGTGATCTAGAAGCTGTCGCTTCTGATGGAGCTAGGACACTCAGGGACATGTTTCTTCCTCTTGTCACTGGCTCCACTATGCACGGCACCAGGCTCAGACTCCTGGCGGGTAGAGAGCGTGCAGGACCCACACTGGGCACGCAGGCACGCAGACTTGATGTCGCTCCTGGGGTGGGCCACACATCTGCTCAGCCCCTGTAGCAATTCAGGTCTGGGGTCTCCCTGGAGGCAGGGGTTGGAGCTAAGCTGAGATGGACCTGCACGTGGAAGGCCACTCAGAGCCCACCCTGCCTAGTGCCGGAAGGCCAGGTGAGGCCTCCCTGTGGTCACTCTAACATGCCATCCCACCTGCCACTTCTACACTGAATGCCTCCAAAATAGCTAACTCCAGCCTAGATGGCTTCCCTGAAGAATTCTTCCAAAACTTAGAGAAATAAACCCAGTTCTACACAAACTCCTCTGGAAAAGAGAAGGGATGTAGACATGTTTCAATCCTCTATGAGGCTGGCATTACTTCAACACCAAAACCAAAAGACAAAAGGACAAACCAGTAGCCCTCATGAACGCAGATGCAAAATATTAGCAAATCCAGCCCAGAAACAGGCAAAGGTAATGCACCACGATGAGGGTCACACCCAAAATGCAGGGCTGCTCCACCTGACAGACTCAGCCCATCACTCAGTGTCCAGAACTAGAAAAGAAGGAACTTTGCAGAGCTGGTGAAGGACGTCTGTGACGAGCACAGCTGACGCCATGTTTAGGGTAAGACATGGAGGGCTTCCCTAGGGCCGGGCCAGGGGCTCCATTCACTGCATGCTCATGGGCCTGAGCAGTGCAGTCAGCAGAGGTGAGGTGGGGAGGAACACGTAAGATGCTTTTATTCACAGGCAACACGAGTGTCTACACAAACAGGTCAAAGATTTGAATTAAATGTAGACACTATGACAGCTGCTTGAGCCCGGTGCACGCTGAAAGGGCTGTCCCAGATGCGGTCCAGCGGTGCCAGGCACAGCTGCTTGGACAAGGCCCCCCTCACTGCCTGCTGAGACCCTGGGCAAGGTCTCTTCCCTGACTGGCCTCAGTCATTTCCGCTCAAGAGATTCTAAGAACTGAGAAACGCGGCAGCCAGTGTTCTGAGGATGAGGCTGCTGGTCCTGCACTCAGGGACATGAGAAGGCAGGACGTCAGTGCTGCCCCAGACCCAGCACCGGACGGCCCAGGAGGGCTCTGCTAACCTGCACCCCACCTCACCAAGCCAGGGGCCACGAAGCCGGGGCCGTACTCACCCTGCCTGCGCAGCTGGTGCTCACGCCGGCTCCCACGGGCCTCCGCGCTGGTCAGTGCCGCGCACAGCTGCTGCAGTTTCTCCTGGTTCTGCAGGTGCGTCAGCCGCAGCTGGGCTCGCAGGGCCTGGATCTCGCATAGCAAGCTGCTCCTGTCGGACAGACGCAGGAGCTCCGACGACTTCTCCTGCAGGGGCCCCAGACATGTGCGGAGGACAGCAGTGAGTGGGGCAGGCTCGGGCGAGGGGAGCCCACCCACACGGGGAGACAGGGTGTGATGGGAGCACGCAGTGCTGGCAGCCCAGGAATGGCCCACCCTCTGCACACTGGCGCCTCCATTGTCACTGCTACAAACTGTGGACCCAGAGTCCCCGACTGGGGGAAGAGCGTACTTGCCAAGGACATGTGTGACCCTCTGTCCCCAGCACCTGGAGCTGGTGCAACAGGACCCCCATGCCCCTCAAGGGCTGACACCCTCTGACCTCCGACCCTGGGCTCAGCACTCACAGCCTGGGGCTGGGCAGCATGGAGATGCTTTTCCTTTCAAGGAAAGGCCGATTATCTCCAGAATGGACTGAGGTGCGAAAGAGGACAACTTGCACATAGAAAAATGGTGTTACACTCGGACTGGCGGCCACGGGCTCCAGGGTTAGCCAGGCCTGAGCTCACCTGCTCCAGCCGCTGCGACAGGAGGGCCCCGGGGCCAGAGCCGTCCTGCTCCTTTGCAAAGGCCTCCTGGATGACCTGTAGGAGCTCTCCTCTCTGGTCGAGGCGCGTGCCGGAGGGGTCCTGAAATTGGGCAAGGAGCTTGGCGTTGGCAGACGCTCCACAGCAGGAGCGCAGACACGAGTGCCCAGGACCAACAGGGCAGGCTGGCGCGCCAGGGCGAGCAGAGAAGAAACACTGCAGACGGTGGTGAGACAGGGCCGAATGAATGGCGGCGGGAAGCCTCTCCCACCACCAGGCTCTGGGCCCAGGGGAGGCCCGAGGCAGCAACTGACGCGGGTGTGTGCGTGCCAGAGCGCACGGAGCTCGGCTGGCTGCCCTCGGCCCCCTACTCTGGGCCCCTCCTCTGCAGGCCCCGCCTGGTTCCTGCCCACTGCTCCCCCCCAACCCGTGGCAAGCTGGCTCCCCAAATGAGACGTGGTTCTCATTTTGCCCTCACCTTGGCACTACCCCGTCTTGACCCCCATGTCACCTCCCTGAGGCCTCTCCTGCCCTAACGGGGCCTGGGAGGGGCCGGCACATGGCTGGGAGCCCGGCCACCCTGCCCACTGCCGTCCACCGCTAGTTCCCTATTCCCACTTATTTGGCCAAACGCTCCCCTCAGAGTGGCCCAAGCCCACTGTTTCTGTCTCTCGTGAACACCTCTGTACCTTCTCTCCCTTTTGCGGTGCTGGCACTGCCTCCAACAGGCCCTGGCCCCCCCACAGGACGCCCTCGAGGGGGGGGCCTGGCTCGCCAGTGCCCAGTGCACTGAGGGGTCCATGGTACTCAGACAGGGCCAGGATGTGGCGGCTCTCGTCACACACCATCTGCAGCAGAGCCTGCAGTGGGACAGCGTTTCAGAAAGAGGACAGCAGCTTCAAACCACCCGTCCTTCTGTGGTCCCACTCTCGCCGGGACGCCCGCATGGCCTTTATGCCCAAGAGCAGAGGCTGCTTTCGAACCATGAGCTTTGCAAATATCCCTCCCCCATGATTAGCAGGGGCAGGAGGACACTGTTTTTGAAAAGGCTGAATTTCTGTCAATCCCACTCCAGAACGGCTCCCACGACTTGGCCATCCCATCTGCTCCCTCATGGTGGACACTGTCTGTCCCCTCAGCCTGGGAGAAGCTTGGGGGCGGGGCAGGGCCTGAGCCAACTCCCACAACAGGTCATGAAGACGCCATGGGCTTCCCTGGTCCTCCTGGGACCGCGGCTGCCAAGCCTGAGGGAGCCCCACGGGAGGCTTGGGTACATGTCACAGCAAATGGGCGATGCCTGCAGATGGCACCAGGCCAGTACTGAAGACCCCGGCCCTGCAGTGGCTCCTGGAGCCCAGATGCGGGGCTCAGAGAAATGTCCCCAAGGCCTCCTGTCAGAGTCCCTGCCTGCAGATCCTGTGTTACAGAGATGGGAACGGGGACACACACGCTGGCTGGCTGCGTCCTACCCAAAGGGGCTGAGAGGAGGTGGCAACTTCCCCAGAGCTGTGCTCGCACAAGCCGGTGTGAGGCCAGCACCCCTCCCGTCCCCTCACGTCCCCGAGGCGTGAAGGCCCGCCGCCACGCGTGCTCGCTCCTGCCGCCTGTTACCTCCACGTGTTTCGCAGGGACCACCTTCTCCTTCATGGCTTCCAGCGGTCGTCGGCTCCGCGAGGCAGGAGGGGGCGCTGCTGGACTAGCAGTGGGAGCTTCCCATCCTCCCGGGCTCTGGGTTAGTCTCTCTGCTCCAGCGCCATCACCTAGAACACACCACCAGGTCAGGGACTGAACGCGGGACGCTTGGTGGGGTGCAGAGGGCAGGCAGATCCCGCTGTCCTGCTGGGCGAGGCTGGGCTGGATGGAGCCACCAGAGAGCTGCGGCTGCAACTCCTCTCCTTGAAGACGACACCGAGGGGCCACCAAAGACGCTAACATCAGGCAAGAACTACATACATGAAGTTGGGAAAAGTACATTTTGCACATTTAAAATGGTAATGTCCGTGATTTGAACATAAACCTTAGGGATCTGAGCTCATGTTACAGACTGCGAGCATGTTTCCTCACCCCCGAAGGACAGGACAAACCCACAGGGCGACACAGAACAAGCACGTTGGCAGACGGGCACGCAGGGCCTGTCCTCGCCACACCCAGCCCACAAGGACAGAGGGCCACGGGACAGGAGGAGAAAGGTGCCAATGGCCAGGACCGGCTGGGAGCCGCCGGGCCAGCAGCGAACATCTGGTCGGTAGGTGACCACACCCTGAAACCAGCCAGTGGTCCGGGGAACCGCGAACCAGGTCAGGATCGGTGGCACCAGGAACATGTCAGACACAAGGGAGCCTCAAGCCAGAAAGCAAGCCCCTCAGAAGCACGTAGGCCCCCCGCCCCTGCCCCCAGCCCTGGAGCCCACGGCTGGTCCAGGACGGCTGGGAGGGAGCTCGTGCTCTGTGACACAGAGGGGTGCTCGGGGGAAAGCGGCTGCAGACACCCTGCTCGTCCCCACCAGCGCT